TACAGGCGCGCACAACCACGCCCGGCTAATTTTTGATTTATTGTAGAGATGATGCCTCACCAAGTTGCCCAGGCGGGTCTCGAACCCACAGGCTCAGGCAATCCACTCACCTCAGCCTCCCAAAGCGCGGGATTACAGGCTGAGCCACCGTGCCCAGCTATGCACAAGACTTCTTAAAGAGTCTTATATATTTTCCTCCACAACAACTTTTTATCCTCTTTTCACACATCCAGAAACTGTCTCAAGTAGTCAATCCAGTGTTGGAAATAAGATTCAAGCCCAGATCTGTGCCTTTAGAGCTCTTTCTACCACTCAAGCAGCAAGAACACACACACACACACACACACACACACACACACACACACACACACACACACAAACACACATGAAGCAAGGCACCCCAGCTCATTCTGCTCTCAAATTTTTTCCTGGGGCAGCCTTGGGAAATCTCCATTGCCCACGGGAGTAAACCAGAGCTGTCAATCTAAGCTCTCCGGGGAATACCTTGCCGACATTCTCCCCTAGAGGCCTGAGGCAGTTACTGTGGTTTCCTTTATGATGTGTCACTCTACACAGAGATCCCCGGCAATCCCTTCGGAACAATACCCTCTATCCCACTTCTTCCATGGAACAGGTGTCCTACCTGCCATTCCAGGAACCAGATTTGGAAATCATTTCCCAGGGACCAGATGCTTCATTGAAAAGAAGTCTCTTGCATATTTGTAGTTCTGTCTGTTAAAAACCCATGTTAGTGTGGGAGTTTCAACACTTGCCCCCTCCTCTCCCTCCCCAGTTCAGCTCGAAGTCAAGGTCCAGGACAGAAGGGAAAGCAATCAGAGTTGGCAGTGCCTGTCCCAACCAAGGCAGAGAAAGTCGACTCCTTGGAACTGGAGGTGAGGAGAAAGGAGGGAAGGCATGGTCCCGGTAGTTCCCGCTAACCCCACCCTGACATCCCTCTAATACCAGTCAGCAAGAGGGGAGATGACGCCTTTTTATTAAGGGTTAACACCAAGGAAAGCATTGAGAAGGAATACACAAAGGAGGAGGAAGGGCACACAAAGTCACCCCTTGCGGTGGGAGGGAAGCACATCAGTAAAGGAACCTCAGGACAGCCACATGCTTCATGCCCTGGTTGGGGAAGGTGGGAGGGGGAAGCGCCATGATAGCTTGGAGCTCACAGAAGGGTCTGAAGTCCCCCGAACCTAACACCAGAGCCACAGCCCTGCCCCTCAGGGCTCACACACTACTACACAAGTGGACAAACATAACACACACAAGACATTATGGAGGCAACACCGAGAGGCAGTGGCAGGGACATATTGACAGAAAAAGGAACTGAAGTTAAGCAGGTGTAGCCAGGAGAGACAGTTTTTGGCTGTAGCCCCAAGAGTCCCTCAAATGTCCCCTAAATCTCGGCTGTTGCTGAGCACCCCCGAGTCTCTGCCTGTGAACTGGGCTCTTTGTTTTCTAAGCCCCATGAGTGGAAAAGCAATCCCAGATGAAGTCAGTGACAAGGCAGGATCCGCTCTGCATGCAAAATCCTAGAGGTTGAGCTATTATGTCTTCATGCACATTCATAGCCAGCTCCTCCCAGCCCGGGGCCCTTGGAACCCCATTCACCCAGATTCCTAGGGCTGCAGTTCCCTCCTCAAGCTTCCTTTACCAATCAGCAGCCGCAGAGATCTGTGAGGGGGAGAGGCTTCTGCAGAGCACTGAATATCTTGGGTTTCAGCAGAAGGGTAAATTTCCTGTTGCCAGAACAGAATACCCTCAATTCCTTAGTTTCTAGGTAAATTGTTAGAGATTATTTGCCATAGTCCTAGATAAGTCCTTTTTCAGAATAGAAAAAGCAGGATTTTATTTACACAATTCAGGGGTTCTCCTGTTGCCTGGGAAGGGGGAAAAGGCAGGGTAGGGGATGGATGGGAGTCCGGAGATGGGCGCTTCCTCTCCCGGAACCTCACCTTTCCGCAGTTTGCTATGATTCTCTTGGCTGGACAGAAAGAATTCTTAATGCTCCCAAAGTCCTTCACCTTAACAAATCCTTCCTCGAGGGAGTCTCTCTCTGCCTGCCCCACAAGAGCAGCTGTCGAAGTGAAGCATGCCGCACCGCGCCGTTCAGTCCCCTCGCGTCATGCCCTCGGAAACCCAAAGCCAGCCCGGGAGGGTAGTGCCCGCACGGAGTCCCCTCACAGGGAGGCCTCGCCCTCCAGTTGCAGCAGGGTAATGTCGGGCAGGTCGAGGGGCTCCACAAGTGGCCCTTCCCCCCCAAGGAGACCAGCACAAGGGCTCTCGGGGCGCTCACGGTGACTGGTGGGTGTGGAGGGGCTGGGCGTCTCCTTCTGTTCTTCGTCATCCTCCTCGTCCTCGGGCTCGCGACCCAGCAAGCCGCTGTCCCCGATCCCAGGCGAAGGGGTCTCCGGCTCTTGGGGGTCGCCGGGGAAGCTCCCCTTGCTGCCGACCACGCCCAAGCCGCCCTGGCGGGGCGCTGTGGTCATAATCTGGCACATGGAGACGATGGCTCGCTGGTTGGCGCACACGTCGTCCGAGAGCACCTGGATGTGCGAGGCCTGCTCGTCCAGGGCCCCCCTCATGGCTCTCACGTCCTCAAACAGAGCCTGCAGCTGGGCCTTCAGGTGCTCCATCAGTTCCTTCATGCCGCCGTTGTACTCCCCAGAGATCACGTCCCCCACGGCCGGCACGGTGGACACCTCCAGGGGCGCCGGCATGTCGCCGCCGTCCTTGGTCATGATCTCCAGCAGACCGTCCTCCATTGAATGGCAGAAGCGGGTGGCGGCGGCTCTGGGTCGCGTCCAGCCCGGCCTCCGGGGTGGGGGAGGGGTGTGGAGGGGGAGAGGTCCCGGGAGGGGCAGGGAGGAGCTGAGGGAAGAGGAGGCTCCCGAGAGGGGCGGGGAGCCGACGTGAGAAGAGTCCCGGGTGGAGGCAGGATCGGGGGAGGCCGGGGAGAGGCGGCGGGACGAGGACCCGGTGCGGGTCCCAGAGCCGGCGTCTCTTGGGCTCGCCCCGGGACGACGGTGCCCTGCCCTGCCTCGCCTCCTGGGTTGCACCCGTGTCAGCGCCGCCCCGCGGGCGCCACAAGCAGCGAGTGCCCGCCGGTTTCCTGGGTCACAGAGGCGCTGGCGGAGGGGCCCGGGTCGCCGCTGATGCCAGCAGCGCGTCGGGCTCGGGACTCCCCCAGGCCATTAACTGGCAGCACCCGCGAGTGAGGCTGGAGCGGCAGGGGCGGGTCTCCCAGCGCTGCCGCGGATGCTCCTCTGTTTCCAAGGCGACGCACGGCACGTAAATGACGTGTGTCTCCATGGTAACCAGGAAGTGGAGAAGAAAAAGGGGAGACTGGTTGGGAAGCTGCAGTGGGGCTCTGGAATCTGGACCTGCGGGTGGGGCGGGAAGGGAGGGGACGCTGCAGTGGCCTCAGCCGAGGCTAGAACGAGCGTGTGGCCGCAGTTTTGACAGGGAAGCATGAGAGGGCAGTTTGTTGCATAAACGTTCAAGTCCGGGAGGGATCATCCCTCCCCTAGTCTGGGTATGAGACAGGAGGGATTTTCACCAGCCCGCATTCCCTTCTCAGAGGATGGCGCTGGAGCCGGATCCCACTTTCCTGTCCTCCAGCGGTCCGCAAGGGAAGTGGTGAGGGTAGAGAGGCTGAGGCCGATCATCCCAGACCTGAACTGGGGCGCGGTGGCGCTCTGGAGCCGGCCCGCCGGGCCTGGCGGTGCAGAGGCAGGGAGAGGGCGCTACGGAGGTTTCTGCCTGTCCCTTCGGCTTCTGCAGTCAATCAGCCCTCTTGCTATAGAAAGCACAGGAGCTGGGGGAGGATGGGATTCCTTCCCCTAGGGGTCCAAGCCACTTCTACCTAGGTCACTGGGAGTTTGTCCAGTACGGTGAGGCCAAGTACGTCAGTTTTGGGAATGAAGGCTCCATAAGAGCAGAGACTTTTGTCTCCCCTTCACCCTCCATCACGGAATCCCCAGCTCCTAAAATAGTGCCTGGCACCTTTCAATTTATTTGTTGAAGGAATACTTTAGCAAGAACCACCAAGTCCCGTCCTCTCATCAAGAACTCCCCAACCCATACGTAGTGGGTTTTGAGAGACCTGAATTCAGTTTTGCCTCTGCCACTTATTATTTTAGAGACCTTGGCTAAATCGTTTTCCTGATCCTCTAGAGGATTGGACTGGATAATCAAAAATATCATTTCTAACTCTGAATAATACTCTGCATCAGCTCACAGGTGAACAGGTAAACTGTTGACAGTTGTGTGGAGGGGATAGATGGGGGACTGTGTGTGAGGGTAATTCCCCTCTCCCAAAGGGCCAAGTTCAGAAGTACACTGGATGTCTCCAACCTTTGTGACAACTCCTTTCCTTGTATGAGGGGTGAGCAGGAAGGGAGGAAGAAAACACTGGATCTAATAGTGTTGACACCAGATTGGGAAGCAGTTAGTACCTGGCGCATACGAATTAATAATGACCCTAGTAAATTGAGGAAGCCAAGTGATCAGAAACCAAAAATGAAATTCATAAGAACAAATAAATCTGGGGAAGAAAACAAACTCTATCACTTTAAGATAGAGAAGAGCTAGGTATCAGTGTTTTTTGTATACTGGTGGTTCAACAACAAATGTGTTGAGGTTTCCCTGGTTATGTGCTCAGTGACGAAGAGTGAGACTGGCCCAGGGAAACTTTTGTGGCACTAGAGAACTGTTTAGCCTATGCCTGTTTTGCTGCTATTAAAATAGAAACCGATTGGGAATATTCTAAATGACAGCAGCATCATGTTTAAATGATCCAAAGTACTGCTGATATAATAAAGTAGCCATTGGAAATATGATTTCCCAAAATAAGTATATGAACAAATTAAAAACCCAACAGAATTGTATTTTCTAAAACTAATGATTCAATCCTATTTGCTTGTTTGCTTGCTTCTTTCCTTCCTTCCTCCCTTCCACAAACTTTCGGCACTCTCACCTTGGTTGTCACTCCTGCCTCTACCATGTACCCCACAGCTGGTTAATAATGCCTTAGGTTATTCCTAAAGCTGTGGGTCAGAAAAGGACAGAAATACTTTTCCTTGGTTTTCCTAAGCATAGCTGAAGTTGGCTGATATTTACAAAAAGTGTTTTTAAAAATACAGAAAAACTAGAAAGAGAGACAGGACACCTAAACAGCTGAGCTTACAGAGCACAAAATTCTGATTATACTGCAGCAACCATGTTCTCAGGGCTTTTGGGTTCAACCCTGCTATTCATCCTTCCCAGAAGAGCCCTGCTATAGCCAGAAGAGACTGGCACAGCTTTCAGGCTTTCTGCCTAAATCTATTATTTCATATCTCTTGACCAGCACTTCCCATGGAAAGTTTCATCCCACCAGTGCTCTCACCCTTCAGGTGAGTCCCTGCCTTCTACCTGCAAAGAGTGGCCCTGTTCCCAGTGTAAGGCCTCTCCTCTTTGAAATCCCATAAGCTTACATTAAACGTAGCCCACATACAGTAGTAGCTGGGCTATGCCATCATACAGGGCCCTTTGCCATGATTGTTGAGGATATCATGTTATGTCAAGGCTTTCAGCATAAGAGTGCATCATGCTGCCCAGGTGCTGGTCATGAAGTCCACTGAGAGTACAGGGGGTCTGAGCCCAGAGGGAGGAGGAATCATTGGAGAAGCAGGAAAGACCATGGGAAACATCTGCAGAGATCAAGGGGTGTGGCTGATCCAGTCAAGTTCCAGGTCAGACATATGACAGCCAAGGGTAGGTGGGAACTGGGGGAGTAGATCAGTAGCAGGAGTTGAAAATATAAGGAGGAGATGTTGGTGCATCAGATACAAAACCAGATTATTTCAGGAATTCTGTGTGAGAATGAGACAAGGGAGAAGGGTCTAGTCTCAGGAAAATAGGAGGGACAGAAGCAGAGAGCAAAATACAGCCTCAGGCAGCTAGCTGGGTTATAAGGCTGGGACCTCTGAATACCAGTGCCCTAGAGTTTGTCGTACGGGTCCATTTCCAAGCACAAAGAGGTTAGATGGGTATCCCAAACATTCTAACAGAGTATTCAGAAGAACTTCTATAGAGTAAGAGAATATAACTCCCTACACATTTTTCTGCTTCCTGCCTTTCACGTATCATCTGGGAATTACCTTAGCTATTTTATTCCTTAATCCCAGTCTCACCAGACCATGGGAGAGGCGAGGGAGAGACCCCATGCTGCTTTGATGTGGGTCTCTATCAGGTACAACTAGTTCCAAACATTATGTTCTCACTAAAATTGTGATTCTGAATAGCCTCTGCTATTTTCCTCTATCTGGTATCTAGTTTATCTCCAGTTTCTGTGTCATATAGCTATTGTACTTTTTACACTATAAGTCCCAATGAAGATACTTGCTTGGCTCAGGTCTAGAGCAATGATCTAAAACAAGGCACAGCTGGCTTCTGAACCTTGGGTCCAAAATCCCAGACAATATCCCCCAAATGTAATTTTTAAGAAGCTTAGCTGCCTTGTGGCCCATCTCAGCACAATATCACTTTCAAAAGAAACACATCCAATAGCCAAAAAGAATTAGAAAGCAATTTAGATTTTTATTACAGTCTCTGGGAAAACTCTAAAGGGGTTTACATTCTCAGCACAGAGCAAAACATCTTGAACTCTCTCTCTCCTTCTCTACTTGTCTCACATATTACGGCATAGCTGTTGCTGCTGGTCTCTCCCCTTTTGCCCCAAACACCCCCCAACTTTCTCTCAAGGCTAGCCTGGTTATCTCACTCCCCTGCTCTCATTACTTCTTGGTTGTATTATTTTTCTTTCCTTCTAATGTAAATTAGTCTAAACTTGGTTTCAGTTCCTTTGAGTCTGTCCCTCAATTTCCAGTCTGCGAGAGCAACAGGAGCCCCAGGGGTCAATTACAAGTGTCTTCTCAGAAGAGAAAGAGACTGAGAGGCTGAGAGTACTCATATTGCAGTGGGTATTGTCTGTCACAAGATTTGCTCGACACCAGAGAGTGGTTTGCCTGGTGTTTTGACCAATCTGCTTTCCTCATCTCCTCCGTGCTTATACAGAGAAAAGGGGTAGGGTGGTTTGCAAGGACCCTGGGGCCCTGTGATCCTGGTGAGGGACTTCCAACTGTCCACACCCTCAAGAGTCTTTAGTGCCAAAGACAGCCATGCAGTGAGTCACACACTGTCCCTCCCATAAGGCCTGAGCTGGACTTCCAATTGCTTGATTGGTGACCTCAAACTATTTTTTAGGAGTCTGTAACGTCATCCTCACTCCCTTCTTTCTCTTCCCTATTGACTTTACCGAGAGCAAGAATTACAGGGGGGCCTCCACTAAACCGCCACTGAAAGTAACTCCTCATTCCAATTAAACCAGTTTTGCTGGTGTCGACCCAGCTCCCTTTTCTGTACCGCCCATGGCAGCAGCTTCTCTCACCTCATTACCTGCAGAGGCTTTTTCCCCCTTAGCGCATGCTCTAACATGTATTCTATGCCACTGTGACATGACCAGTCGCAGTCCAAGTTGGGAGTAGTTGGTCACAGTCACAGAAGCATTCAGAACTCTGGAGCCACCAATGATCCTGATTCAGGGCCTCATGCAAATTCCATCCTCACCATATATTTTTTGCCCCCAGGAAGTTGCCGTTTCTGGAACAGCTCAGAGTCTGGCTTGGCCCCGAGCCATAATCCTCATCAGGCGCCACATGATAACAGAATTTCTGGTCTGATGGGGGCAAATTTCTCCCAGAGTATCAGCCTAATTTGGAGGAAATTACACCTAAATATCTAGGATAGGGTAAGGCCTGTTATGTGTGCTACAAACTTCCCTCCTACTGAAGGTATTTTTAGAAATTGAATGTCCCTCAAAACTGACTTATACAAACTACCAGGCCCCTTCTAGCCTGTCACAGTTTGAAGAAGTCTGTGGTATTCTATTCTAGCTAATGCATACACTCTTGTAGAGCAATGATCTAAAACAAGGCACAGCTGGCTTCTGAACCTTGGGTCCAAAATCCCAGACAACTTACTAATGCGTCTAGTTATGCTCTGTCCATCCCCTCTCAGAGGCCCCCAAAATAGTATAAAAAGCGGTTTCTACCATTTCCCTTTTGCTCCCAAGGGCCAACAAGGTACTGTCTGTCAGTTATAATTTAGCAGCCACTGAGAGGGTGCATCTTGTTTTCACTGCACAGACACAAATGAAGGCTACATTAGTATTTGTGATGATACCATAGACAAGGTTCCCCAAATGCAATTCATGTCTTCAAAGTACTGCAGCACTGCTGGATCTAGGCAGAAGTGACAACAAGGACCCTATCCCCAACTTTTCTGCCCAGACCTTGAAGCCCATTTTAAGAAGTTTTGCAGGAAAATAACTCCATTTTCTATGCCCAACCACATGTTCACAGTTCATAGGGACAATGTCTGTTTTT